ATCTTTCAGGCCCGATCCAAGATTATTAATGTTATCTTCCTCTTCCAAATTAGACTCCTCATCCATATCATCATTGGATTCTTTAAGCTTATTTGAGAAATTTTCATCATCTGAGTCATCACTTCCACTATCTTCAATATCATTGATTGACACCTAATCATTCTCCTCATTGCCATGTCTAATGGGCTGAACCTCAATTGTTTCAACTCCTTCTCCCTCAAACTCAATATTACTCTTCCTAACTCCGCTACCCAACTCTTTTTTAGACTCTTCATGACTATTCTCAACATTATCCTTGTCCATCCTTTCAATATCCTTAACTCATCTTTATAAGGGGTGTGATATAGGTTGGCTCCTCATATTGGATAGAGGGAGGCACATAGTTTAATATTTCATTAGCTATAGTCAGATACCTACCCTTTAATCTATGACGCGTTTCTTGTCACTCCTTCTTTCTTCATTTAAACTTAGTGAAGAGATTCACGATACTGTCACAATCAAGGTGCCTACCATATTCTCTAGTTAATGCCCTTCTATTATTACTCTCACTTACTACCTCAATCTTATCATAGGGCCCATCAAAAGCCCTTTCACTCTTTATGATCATGAAACTAGACAAAAAGCATACAAACAGACAATCGAGGGCTACAATGGGATTTCACTATTATGTAATTAAACAAGACACTTCGTCAAGGATTTGAGTACTCACCTTCACAATTAATGTGCTTTTCAGCTTTATTGTTCCATCGTCGACCTCAAAGGTTCCTCCCTTGCATAGTCACCTTTTGTTTGAAGCTAACCTAAGTTAAACCTCTGTTTTGAGTCTTTTGGTATACTTCAAAGTACAATTGTTTAGCTGTAAAAAAAATCCCTAAGGTAAATGTCGAGCAAGGGTTAAGGACAATAAACGAGAGTAAGGGTTCACATAGTCATTTCAAAAGCCACATGGAAATCTAGCAAAGCAAGAAATGGTCAAACTCAAGAACTTCATGATCAACGTCCTTAATCCGTTAGGTCAGGTCTGGGTTGCTACAATTTAAAATACTTAAAATGCTTAAAGATACCAATTGCACCTAAAGAAATAGTTCGAGGTTGATTTGCCCTTTAACCTTAATTCTTTGTTTTTTTCCTTAGATTACATTACATTACATTCTCTTTGATTCTTTGAACTAAACGGACCATAAATGTTGTATTTTTTTAATAGAACGAAACATATGAAAGAATTGAGATATTATGAAAGGATGATAAGCAAGAGCATAGTTAGTTAATTAGTAAGTGAGGAACCTAATTTGCAATTTCAACCATATGTTTATAGAAGCCAACAAATATGCAGATTGGCTTGCTTATTAAATTTTTCAAGTGACAACCTTAATATTTTGATTTTTGATGATCTACCTTAGGGTATCAAATCCTTACGAGTTTAGACTTAACTTAATTTCTTCTTCATATATAGTTCATCGTGACCATGTATTAAAAAAAAATTCTGCTATTTGAAGTTGAATGTAAAGACAACAAGATTTATTAGGTTGTCTAAATGTAAATGAACTTGAGTTGATGTAAAAAGTCTCATATTAAATAAAGTTGGGTTTAACAGCTAATATAAAATAAAACAAAAGGACCCATAAACTATGAGCTTTGAAATTTTGAGTTAGTTGTGCTAAAAAAGAAATTATTTATTCATGCAAACTCATGCGCATGGTCAGTTATGTACATCATATTCTCTCTGTTTTTTGGTGCAATCAGGGGGCCACTATCATATTCCTTTAGCTAACCTTAAATAATATCGACTAAAGAACACGAGTTTTACCCAGACGCATGTGGGTGTGTTTCATTTCTACTTCTTTTTAAGGATAATTCTTCCGTACTCTTGCCTCACACATCATGCACTGGTGGAGAAACTGCTCCAAAACTTGTTTGACTTCAGTTAATTATGCTTTTACTAATCCGAGATCCTAGATAGATGTTTCCGAAATTTATGAATTTGCAAAAATTATAATGTCTATTAACAATGGAAAAGTTGCAACTGAGCTGAACTTTCATGCGCGACAAAGCAACTATTGAGCCAAGGATGACACGCACCCGCGCACACACACACACACACACACATATATATTGGCCAGAAGGACAATTACATTAAATAAACGCACTAGAATTTGTTAATAATGCTGGACAAAAAGCTTAGGAGCAGGCAAATCGAAGCTTCAAGAAATATGAAAAAATGCATACATGATCAGTGCTAAAAGACGAGTCTAAGGCTTGGGGCTAATTCTGAATGAATAATATTAGAAGACTTGAACTATGACTGTGTGGTCACGAGGTGTTCGTACTGATTGCGATTTTTTTGTGTATGTGAATGTGTGCTCAATCTTTTGACTGTTATCTCCACCTTAGGAAACCCACTGTTGCCACTTTGATTTTTAATTTTTAACAAGCTATTAGGCATAATTATTGTAATGGATCATATAAACATTTATGGAAGCAACATGCGGAAAACAAAAAGAATAATCACGACTGATCACTTGTTGGCTAGCTCGAGAAGATGACTTCACCCAGAAGGCTGAGCCTTATCGATCAATTTCAGAGGTCTTCGTTTGATTTGCTCAAGAGACAGACATTAAAGTTAATTTCCTCATCAACTCTCTCTGGAACTTGTTTTTACTTTGTTCTGTATCTAAGATATTTGTGTGGAAGCATCTAGTTTGATGTGTTTGGTATACTATTACCATGAAATTTTTGTTTTTCTTCCAGATGAAGAAAACTAAAAGTTGAAGCATCCCTCAATACAGGGTCTTAAAAAGGACAATATGTGCGCTATATATATATATATATATATATACACACTCTGTAGTTTCTAACACTCGCTAGCATCAGCTTCAGAAGTTATCGCTGTTAAAAGGTCATTTTCCTTCCTTGAAAGTTTGCTTTAGCTGTGACACAAATTTGTAAGCTTATGGTGTGGAAGCACTCAGTGTGACCCACAGGCACATATATAAGAAGAATCCAAAGCATTTTCCTGGCTTTGAAGGCAACAAATAGAACTAGCAATCAGACAAAAAGCTAGGTGTCAGAGACCGAGAGTACTATGATTGGAATTGTATCTAATTTTTCTCTGCCACTGTTTTCTGCTTGGCCATGCCCTCTTGGAGAGACCTGTTTCCAGTTCAGCTTTCACTTTCATACAACATTAATTCTTCTCGTGAGATCAACATTTCATGCCCGTAATCAATAAAATGCACCTCCCTTTTGATCTTTTATAGACATTACAATTTACATGACTCGATTCTTCATTCATGGGCATGTAACAAGTTAATAACTACAGATGCAGATAAGCTTCAGTTTATTTGCATGTCACAAGCTCAAATACTAGCTTGATGAATTACAAGCTATGAGATGGATGTCTGAGACTGAAGATTCTTAAGGAAAGATAATTCACTTCAGTCATGAAAGTAAAAATATCTTCTCCTGGTCTAGTGAAAACCAAAGTTTTGAAACCCTAGTCAATGTATGCATACACAAAATAAGATTCCGTGCAGCTGTAAGAAGCCCCAGTCAAAGGACACAGATTAAAATTTTATTCAGATTGTGATAGAGGAGAAGATAACAATAGCAAGTAGTTCCTTCAATGTGACTATATCGATCCAACAACCAGCAGCATCACATGGTCAGATATTTTTTGACTTTGCATGAATATTCAGACCTAGCTACTGTAGGCGCTGTGCTGTACGTAAATAGCATTTTTGCCTTCTTGATTGTAATTTATGGATTAACGGAATAAAAAAAAAATTAAATGAAACAAAGTATTACACTAGGTCAATCTCATGAACTGGAAACTTTAAGTTTTGAGTTCTCAAGTGTGTCAGGCGAAATCTATGGTTCTAAGTTCAAAGAAACTTTTCGTATTTTTGGGAAATACTTCTTATTTTATTGCATATAAATTATTCCACAGTATATATTAATCATAAAAAGGAGCATTGACGGCATTCTTTTTGTTCTGTAGTAATTTGCAAGAGAATCAGCACATGAAATATCTAAGCTGCTTGATCCTTGCTGTTTCAATATTGCAGCAACACAGTACAGATCGGTAAATGCTATGAGGCTCACTTCATTTGTTTCCCTCTTCAGCTTTGATTGCGACGTCAAGACAAAATTCATGGAATGTTTAGATTCCCATGTTTAGTGTTTTTGGTCACGCTGTTTAAACATTCTAACTACTGTAACTTTTTATTTTCTCAGGGAGCGAGTGAAGGTGCTGTCTTTGATGACCAGAGGAGTTTTGCAAGTTCTAAATGAGTCACATAATTGACTACCAATATCTTTTGTAGTTTTTATTTTTTTACTAGAATTTTGAGCCATATCCTCTTTTAAAGAATTTTAATGAAATCAAGTCTATATCTATTAAAATATCAGTCATGTGTTACCTTTTGGAGAAGAAAATCCTTGGAATATTTTATTTTCACAATCTTACACTTGCATATTTACTTCTTATATATCATTCCCCACAGTGAAAACCTTATAAGAAAAGTAGGATTTATGAATTTAAGAAGTGCTCTACAAGAGGCAGACTTTTGGAATGAGCCACTCACAAACTCTTTTAACCAGGAGTACAAATGAAGTCTTGTGAAGTGGAGCTAGAAATAATATTTTTAACCAAGCTTATGACACATTTTTATCTTTCCATTTTTAAATTGTTCATTTATTTTTTTCCCCCAACTTACAGAATTTGGAGACAAAAACTTCAAACAAAAAGGGCAAAAAATAAGTTCAAGCATCATTTTCCTTTCCTTTTTCGAGCTCTCCTTTTCTTTGATTATTCTTTCCTTTTCTGAACTTCTAAACAGATTCTTTGAGATCAATTGACGGGTTCCCATTTGATCGTATAATGCAGATTCATCGCTTTACAGGTTTCTCCTGTAGAAAACTGACACGTAAGCCATCATTGAATGAGTTTAGTCTTGAAATATGGTCATTGAAATTTGAGTTAAGAGACCAAACCACATTATAACATTAATTCCACTGTATGTGAGAGCCCACCTGTAGGCCACACTCTTGGGGAACACGTGGCTCAACTCGATTGGGCCACCAGGTTGGTCCACCATGAGCGTTTCATTCCTGATCCTCATAATGGTTAGGCCCCCGTCCCTTACTCTGCATCTGTAACCATTGTTTGGAAAGCGGGAAAAAATGAAGGTGATGGCAAATCATGCATGCATCTATATCCACTTTGCTTCTCATTCATATTTAGTAATCATTTTTCATTGTGATCAAATGGGATCTCTAAGTTTTCAGTGTTGTTAATTTGTTACAGATCTTCAACTGGGTGCATAGGACGTTCCTTCATAGTGCTCTGAAGGGTTTGACAGATACATATATCTCTAACGTGTTCAAATAACTCTGCACAATGTTTATATTGTACGTATGCTTTGTTTTTAACAGATGGGTTTGAATCAGACGTGAGAAAGGCTGAGCCTGAAGCAATCAAACGGGATGATCAAGCTTCACTGAAAGAAGTTGCTCTCGTTAGTGGTTGGAAAGATGGCATTCTAACCATTGGCACTCTAGGCTGTTATGGTCCCTTCAAGACCTCCAGCCAACACAAAGATTACTTGGCTCTGGAAAGTGATGAAGATGAAGCAGAGAAACATGAGGAAGAGGAGAATTATTGCACAGATGGTGGTGTTGAGGAAGAAAACAAGTATTGGGAACCTGAGTACGAGGAAATGAAACCACTTATTCACACCAAGTTTGAGAATAACTTTGAAGATGTAGTGAATGAAAAACCCAGTCGTGCCAATGCTGCCAAAGTGGAAGCTCTTGTGGCTCTGACACCAGTTTTGGTTTCTGATGATGTCACAGAATGTATCCATGTGGGGACTGAGCAGAAGGAGAAGAAAAGTGAAAGAATCACCCTGGCTGACCTGTTCTTGGCTGATTCTGAGAAAATAATGAAACATGACGCTGCAAAAGTGTTGCTTGATGACCAGCCTGGTGATGATAAACAAAGCCTGAAAGCCAAACGTGGACAGCCCACATTCGCCAAGAAGCTCATTTCTGGCGTCAATAAGGACAATCCACACCCAATAAACAATATACGAAAAGTAAGTCATTAAGCTTCTCGTTCGCACAACCTCACTATGAACAAGCTTGTATAGTACCAAATAATTAACCAAGAACTTGCATGAATCTACTTGTTTGACTTGATTTTGTTTTCGTTTTGGTTTTAAATATTGCAGCTGATGAAGAAGATGATAAAGAAGAAAATCCATCCTGAGGTGGATGTCAAGAATAAAAAATCAGAAGACCAGAAACCTAGTGCAAGTGAAATCTGCGAGAATCAAAAGATTGAAGGTGCGGCAGCTGAACCAAATTTTGTTTAATCAGTGGCCTTTATTGTGATTTTCTTTTTTTAAACCCTCAAAGATAGAGTTTATAGGTTCTTTCTAGTTATTTTGTATTAGGAATTGAATCAACCGTATCCAACTTGAAACTTCTTAGATTGACTCATGTTCACTCAGATTGGCATAACATTATTATTATTCTTTTTTTTATCCTACCCCACTATTTTCTCCTCGGAAGTTTCTCTATATCCAGTCTAACAAATTTGACTGTCCTTTCATCTACTTGACTCTGATCTGAACGAAGAAATCATGCAACGCATGCTTGAGACGTTCTTCATTTGTTTGTGACTTGAGTGCAGACAGGGATGTTGGTGCATTGAACAAAGAAAGATCATTGTTTATACAAGAAATAAGTTGTTACCGAGGATGTTTGCATGATATTCAGTGTGTTACAGTTTTATGGAAGACAGATTCAAAATGATCATAAACCAAATCCAATCCAATCGTCACTTTCCATGTGGTAGTAATAATCATTTATCGTCTGTGCGGGTCCCCTTCCACCAAAAACAACTGAAAAATCCAACTAAGAATGCCAAACCAAACAATCATATGGTAATCAACCTGCGAAGCAAAACTCACTTTACATGATTGCGCTTTAATATTTATTTGTGAAAACAACTATTTATTTTGCATTATGTAATTTTGTTAGCAATTGCTCCAATTATACGAGGCCAAGCAAAAACAACATACTTTGACTCAAGACCTGCGTCTCATTTTGTTGGCCACATTAATTACTTTTCTTCTCTGCTGCATTTGCAATATTTTATTGATGTGAGGATCCCCCTGCTTCTTTTTTGCAGGCACCAGTGGTTAATCTGTCCTCTGGAGTGTGCTGGTAATCTGCAGTTGTACTTATATTTTATTTTTCATAATGTAAGGACGTGTATTGATCAGGTTAATTTTTGCTGGTGTATTTTATGAACAAAGCATGTGATTGTGTTGTCTGATACCTCTCAATTTGTAGTGTTGAATTTAATTACTTTGACTTGAATTGTGGTTGTCTCAACTCTCAATTCTCAATTCTCTGCTTCTCATGACATTTCATTTGGAATTTTGACAATATTTTGGGTCGTCGTTCATTCACCATTCGTTCTTATCACTCGTTCATCAAAGCCTCTCTCTCTGTTTTTGGTCAAGTCGTTTTCCTGCGGGATCAATGGCTTTCCCCTCTTCGAGTTATCTATGGAGACTAGCAATTATCTGATGAACCATTGACTTGATGGGCCTGGCCCAACAAGTCCAATTGACAATAAAGCCTATACTATGAGAAAATGGGGCAGCCCAATGAATTAATGAGCCCAATAACCAAAAGATCTTCAGAGCCTACCATGCAAGTTGCAACGACGGAACTACCGGTTCCACTCAGCGAGGAGAGGTCCTTTTGACACAAAAACATAAAAGAGATTGTTGCTTCGTCAGTTTCAGATATGAGATATAGATTGTTACTTCGTCAGTTCTAGATATGAGATATTTTTAACTAATGCATAGAGTCTCAAACAAAATAAATAAAAAAATAAATAAATAAAGCAGGTAAGTTGGTTATTTGTAATTAATTTGTAAAGAATTCATGACACTTTTCAAAAATACGCTTACCATTTAATCTAATGAATTAAAATTTAATGCACGGAGATAAAAATGCCCCCAATAAATGGAGATAATATATCGGGAAAAATTAAAATAGAAAATAAAAGAGAATGAGATCTTGTATATTATTTAGGACCAAATCTAAACTCTCAAATGAACCTTTTATTTAAGACAGGAGTGAATAGCTTACAAAACAGGTTTACAAGTGTATTCATGCATGATGCATGCATTCAATTTGCACCTGGCTCCAAGGGCCAGGCTAAGCTAGATGGGGAAGATAGAAAGAGACATAGAGGTGAGGACCACGTGGGCTTTCCTCTGCCAAGTGACAACCCTATAGAAACCGGGCAAAATCTAAACTGCTCACAATAGATTTTGACAGCCATATTAGATCAAAAGGACAAGACACTAACAACGGTCAACCTCCACCGGCACCCTAGCTCCGCGGCAGAGAGTGTCATGCTGACCAAGTTATTAATTAGAAAACAGAAGAATCCAACGAAAGTAAATCGCTACGTAGTGGACATGTTATTTGTGAACCAATGCCATAGCCTGGTCCCCCAGCAAAGGAGCGTCGTGGAAGCAGTATGCAAATGTGAAAAGGTCGAGGTTCTGGTCCCCTCCTCATATCATATATCCATGGATAAAGGTGACATTCAGGTCTGGGCATCGCTGGTCCCTCTTCCCTTCAAGCATTTAGGAACACTTTTTTGAAGTCAAATTCTACATCCTGTTTGCCCCACTTTCTTCGCGCACGTATAAGTTCCCACTCCAGCCTTGAAATGTTTGACCTTCTCCATCCTTTATATCGCTTGCAATTCAATCACTCACTCACTTTGGATCCTTTGTAATGAATTTTTTATCCTTCTCCTGAAATTTAAGTTTTATCAATCAGATCTCTAAAATTTCATACACAATTTCATTTTCTTATTTCATCTTATCCGACTAACATTTGTTTTTGCAATCTATAAAGTTGTTGTCATTCACTCTACGACGCATATGTGATTAGGGTTATCCGTCTTCAAACTATAAAAACTAGTTGTATATAATTTCAAAATTTTAAGGGCTTAATTTATTAAACATAAAAATTTAATGACAAAATGAAGTCAATAATAAAAAAAAATTCAGGGACCAAATAATTCACTTAATGATTATACATACATACATACAGACACACACACACACAGAGGTTTGAGAATCGCCTTTTCATATATACTAACCGTACATCATTAATTTTACTTGAGAGAGACGTCAATATTGCACACGTACGTCTATCTAATCCATTTATCTATCTATCTATTATAAGATACACAAAATTTCTTACAACTAAAGGTGATCAAACTATACACAAACTGATAATTGTATTCTTTTGTTAAAGTATAATTTAATTTGCAAAGAAAAATATTTAAATTTGTGTTGATGTTATTTATTTTATGTAGAAACCCCAACTTTAGTTTATTCTCGTTTATTTAAAAATTACAATTTTATATCAACCAAACACATTTTCAAAATACGTGTTAATGTCACACGAGTAATATATATATATATATATATATCTTTTGATTAAAATAAGTACCATTATCTCTGTTGTTATGCTGAGATAGTCAGCATGATGCATCTTTGAGATGATAACGAAATTTGAAAAAATAAATAAAAGCTGAGAAAATTCATTTTGAAGTCTTCATCTATCTTAATAGTGTGTTTGGATCCATAAAGATTTAGATTTGAATTTGGATTTAGATCGAATCCCACGTTTCGGTATACAAGAATTAACACAAATATATTTTTAATATAATTTTTTTATAATTTTAAATTCCCTCTATACTAGTTGTTTAAAATTTCAATTATTTCAAACCTTTTGTTTTTTTTTTCTTCATATTTTTACTATTAATGTATCTGACATCTTTTATATTCTTTTTAAATTTATCACTTTCAATTTTTCATTTTCACTTGAATCTCAATTCATCTCTTTTTTATTTAATTTTTTTAAAGAGTTAAAAGTCATTTTTATCTTTGAAGTGTATATGAAGGGTGACAAGTGACCCTAAGCTCAACTACAGATAATTTATATTGCTCAACCTCAAATATTTTTTGTTCTGTTACCCTATCATTATCTATCCATTTTTTCTGTTAATGAGAGCCATATTCAAATTTTTTTAATATTTTTATTATAAAATATTATTTTTAAAATAAAAAATTCTCTCCTCTCCTCTCCTCTCTCCCAATTGCTACTGGCACCCATGATTTGAGACACTAGCTCCTCCTCGTCAGGGTTGCTAAAGTCAATGGTGGGGACCTCCAGTTGAACCCCCTAAACGTGGTGATGTTGGGCTGCTCCGTCCCTGATCGAATGAACTCTAGTAGGATATTGCCCTAAGACAAAGAGGCTATGTCTTGCACTCTTTATCACCTCTATGGATTCTGAAACAGGGCAAGTAGTTGGGCTTAATGAATTGGGATGTGTGCCTCAAGAAGATAAATAAGAAAAAGAACAATGCAGCAGACGTGCTTGCAAAGATTGGACTAGATAGTTTGCTTGGGCTTAGTATTTTCACTAACGCCCTTGCGAAGTTACACACTGTACTGGAGAAGGATTTGCTGTATTTAGTTGATTATATAGGCTTACTAGCCTAGGATGTGTCTGTCCTCATAAAAAAAATACAAAGTAGCCCGCCTTAGTAACTTCCCTTACAACATCCGTTTCTCTTGTGCAACGAGCAGCTGATCCCTCTCATGCAAGTCATCATCATTTTGAGCAGCCTTGCTCTGTTTCTTTCTATAGAAATAGAGCAACTTTCTCTTCATAGAATATCACCGCTAAGCATTACATTGGAGTCATGTTCATTTGGGCCACACAACCATCAGTCAAAAGCTTCATGCATACATACGTGCATAGCTCGCGACACTCCTCTCTCTCTACCTTCTCTCTTTGGTCATCTTTCACCAAGTGCGGTGAACGCTCTAAGGTTCATCGTTGTTGTCTTGTTAAGCTGTCCTTAAGCAGCATTGGGATCCCATGGATGTTAGAGTTGAAGCCCGATGCTGTCCTTAAGAAGCGAAGTAGAGGGGGAGACGGGAGACGGGAGATGGGAGGCTAAGAGAGAAAGTAGGGAGGGGAGAGAGAGAGAGATACGAAGGGGGGAGAAATGGGAGTTTGAAAGATAAAGAGACGAAGCATAGAGGGAGATGGAGCATAGAGGGAGACGGGAGATGGGAGACGAAGGAGACAAAGCAAAGAAGGAGACGAGATAAGAGAGTGTGGACGAGAAGATGATGAGATCGAGCAGGAGGGAGAGAGAGAAGAGGAGGGAGGATAAAAAATATTTAAAAAATAGCATGGGGCCTATAAATAATATTTTATAATAAAAAATTTAAAACTGGGCCCCACAAATGAAAAATAAACAGATAAATCAATGAGGTGATAACATAAAAACATTTAAGGTTGAGAGATATAAATGATTCATAGTTGAGTTTAGAGGTATCTATACATTTTGCATATGCTTTAGGGATATTTTTGACCCTTGACCCCTTTTTTTAAACTATTTAAATAAAAAATTTTAAATAGATAAATTTTAAATGTGAAATTTAAAATGCATGATTTTAAATTTAATATTCAAATACAAATCCAATAATCCAAACGCTATCTAATATTCCCCTTAGACTGGACTTCTTTGAAATTTTGAATTTGATGGATATTGCCTATCGATCACTTATATTCAAATGATTTGTTAGTAAAAATTCCAATAATAAAATCCTTAGACCTTGCTAATTCATGGACACAACATTAAGTTACTATTGGAACATGTGCTGAAAGTGACAATATCTCAAAGAATCAAACCATTGAAAGAGTCTAATAATATATGTATCTGAACCAGATCTTTGATCCCATATGCAATACTGATTTTATCAATATATAATATATATGTTGCAAGCATGAATAGTAGTTCTTTATCTTAAAATACCGTTACTTCTTTTAGCATTCACTAGATTTCTCTGCTGATGAACAGTGTAGGCATAGATAGATTGAAATTATCCTGTTTTAATTAATTTCTCTAACAATCTCAATTAGATAATCAAATGTTGATTAAAATGTAGGAGAAATGGATATCGCTGCCCATACATGTCCCAAGAAGAACGAGAGGAAGAGGAAGAAAAATATATTTTATTTATAAAAAGGAACATGGAAAAAAAAAAGCGTGATGTTAGGGGTAAATCAAGAGATTAAGATGAGACACGACATTATTTTTTACGGAGCAAAAATTATAATGATAGATGGTGATCATGACTGTAGATTGACACAGAAATGCACAATAATAAGCGTACAGTTTGTGTTATATATAATAACCTGAAAATGACATTTAAAGTCCTCTCAA